CCTCTTCCTTGTTTGTACACTACCTGATCTTCTTGACTGGGTCCCTTAAACACTACAAAGTAATCAATATTAACAGTATAGCTAAAAGCTAATATATGAATGATACAGGTCATACAACCTCCTCCTCAGTGTTAAAAGGTGTTAAAAAATTGTCCTCCCATTTCTCCACTGTCCTCCATGGATTCCTTACAAGATCTCCAATGTTACTTTCAGAGGTCTCTTCAGGTTCAACTTCACTCTGGTTTTATAAAATGCCTACCACAAAAAAAAAGGAGTCTCAAAAGTTCACATCTTCTCCCCCCATTCTCAGGGGGAGGGGAAGGCAATTTTCCATGTTCATTAAGTTATGTATTTGCATAGGTTTGATTTCAGTGGGAGGTAAAAGTGGAGGAGGAAAATATTAGTTAGAACAAAATTAAGTAATGTTTAATGGAAGATTATTTTTGCATATTTTGTGATAAGGAAAATATGTGTTGAATATACAGATGTTCTGAACAGCAAACAATGATGTTTCAGTTGACCAAATAATTTATGATAATGCCCTCTTGCTAAAACATACTGATTTTTTTAAATTATTATTTTTTTTATTTAGGAAGACCTGCATGTCACTGTTATGTTTTGCTGTGATGAATGTTAAACTTCTGGAGTTAATGAGCAAAGCTAATAAAGGAAGCAACAATAGTTTGGTTGGTTATTTACTTTATAACATGGAAAGGTTGGCCAGGGGAAGTTTAGGTTGGATATTAGGAAGAAATTTTGTACAGAGAGCATAATCAGACAGTGGAATGGGCTGCCCAGGGAGGTGGTGGATTCACTGTCCCTGGAGGTTTTTAAGATGAGACTGGATGTGGCACTGAGTGCCATGGTCTAGTAACCACGGCGATGTTGGATCACGGGTTGGACTTGATGATCTCAGAGGTCTTTTCCAACCTGGCTGATTCTATGATTCTATGATTCTTTTAGCTTTTTCCCTTAGTTTTGCTAACAACAAAAAGCTTTTTCTTGTCTCTGTATATACCAGTGTTTAAAATCATAGTCTACATTTCAGCCACAGGGAAATGGCTATCTTTACGTTCGTTCTTAAATTTCGTGTATGCACACACGTACATTAAAATGTTAAAAATTTGGAGGGTTTACTCAGAAATAATTTCAATTATTTTTCAAGTAGAAGGTGCAATACAAAACATACAATTCTCATAACTTTTTCTGCATTTGTAGATTTAAAGTCTTTATCCTTCTGATTTGTTTTAAAAATTAAAAATGGAGTTGTCTTTCACAATCTTTCCCATGACTAGTATTCATGCACTGAACCCAGCACAAGAATAAAATAAGAGATAACATGTATATACAGTGCAAGTAGGTTTTTTTTTTCTCACTATGCAGCCTCTCTAGAATTCCTGAATTGTAGCAAATTAAATTAGACAAAATAAACAGGCATGCATACTTGCCTACATCAAACTGCCTATGTCCTATGCATAGTAATGATTAAAGCCCAGTTTCAAAGGAACACGCTGTCAAGATTTCTTCTTTTTCTTCTGGAATTAGCACAAATTATACCTGGTAGCTCAGATTTTACATTGACTTGTATCTTACATCAACCATATGCCAGAGTAGAATATATATTTTAGTGCCTGTTTTCCTTTACCTTTCTCTGATTGTAGTGCAACCTTAATTTCTTGCCACTTTTATATAATACATATAATACTGCAGACAGCAGTGGGTCATATGGAATAGTTTAAGGGGAGAAAAGACTCTATTCTTACCACTGAAATTAATACATAAATCCTTCTCACTCATTCTTCAGCTAAGCATTTTGAGAAGCCATTTCATATACTTATAGCTGACATCTACTTGGCTTTCAATTGGTTTAACGATCATGCAAATCCCCATGCTACGACAAATCTTAATGCAGAGTTCTTCAGTGGGAAGCATAGAAAATTTTCCTTGATTTTCTTGATTTTTACATATTTTGAATGAAAATGATGACACATGTGAAAAGAGAGATATTTTAGGACAGCTATGTTTGAACATTACGAGAACATTTCCCATGCTTTATTTTTTGAATCCTGGTGGACTTGATTCAAACTCAGAGATATTTTACCCAACGGCTTTTCATCCAGAATTAAAATTCCACTGAAAGATATATGAATTAAAAAACTTCCATTTAAACATTTAAACTGATGGAAATGAAAGAAATCACATGAAAGATTTTTATGACAGCTGTTTTATAGCATACTTTTATAATGAAAAAAATACAAGCTCACAGATGATGAGAAGAAGTTAATAGATAACTGAGTATGTTAGTAATTCATTACCTTGGAACTCCAAAGACTTTACAATAACTTTGTACTTAATAATTTTGAACTGTCCAAAGACAGTTTTTAAGCACAATCATTTGATGAAAAAAAAAAAAGGCAAGCTGAAGACTGCGTGTCCACTGGCATGCCTATCAGTGAACGGAATGAATAATTTTCTTACAAGAGCGAGAGGTTTCATATTGTTTCAGTGACCATGGCATAGGAGATGACCCGAAGAGGCCCCCTGCTACCTAGGGGTCTTGGTCTCAACTTTTATATTAGGAGAGCCAGTTACATCTGTGGTTTGACATAAACCAGGATAATCTTCAAAAGAAACTCACTGTCACTCATGAGAAGAAGAGATATCACCAGATGGTACAGCAACCTCCAACTGGGCAAGTGTCGGCTACTGAGATTGGCACTCCACACTCACACTTGTATGCGAGAAGTGACACTGTGCACAGTACGTAACCGCAGCCCTTCGTGCCAGCTTCTGCCAGTAGAGGTGTTCGTTCCTTTTCCAGCATATGCTGAGTCTTTCCTATGTGATAAGTCACCCTGGCCCCCTCAGGGAAACCCCCAAACCATAGCAGAATCCTCCTGTTGTTTCCAGAAGGTTCATACATTTCATCGGGTAAAGACAAGCCTGCCAAGTTCAGCCCTGCCTGAGGAATTTACACTTCTCCTTGGCTTCTGTAACTGAAGAGCAGCATTACAGAGGCTTCACTGGCTCCAAATGTCTCCCCTCTCACTGTAGACTGACACTCCTGGTGGATTAGGAAGGTTTTCCAGTTCTTCACTGCCATAAGAATTGAAGGACAACTAAATTCTGCTAAGCACATAGGCAACTCTATTTGGTTTTGTGGAGAAGAGCTAGTGGTAGATGCAGCCCACAAATTTTGTTGTTACATTGCTTTGTTGTATTTCTGTGATCCTGTTCAGTATTTTAAGGCCATAATGCTGTAATAGTGGGCTTGAGGCAGCTGCAGCCAACTTCCTTTCTTAATTACTATGCCGGGGTTATCCCAAAACATTTTTCAGCTGTAAGCTGTGTCATAGCATGAAAACTGCTGATTTAAGAAAACTACACACTGCTGGTCAAAAAAGCGAGAATCTAATTTGGAAATGATGTCAAGCTGTATGGCATGGTGTCTGAAGTGTCACATTAAGACTTTGAAAAAGGTAAGTTTTACAGTTACTTCTTTTATCTCTTTTCAAACAATAATCAAAAGCATTATAAAAAATCTGCAAATTTTCACTTTATGATCCATGTCAATCAAAATTAAACACTTGAATGGTGCATTCAGTAAAATTCTACTGTTTCTTAATGAAAACTATCGAATCACAGCACCAACATTTTACAAAGAAAATGGGAAGGGTGTTTGCTTTAGAGAGAAGAGGTCTTTTTCACTGAAAATCTTTTTCATTTAAAATGCCTAACCCAGCTGCTGCTATGCACCTAGAACTGCACAGCAAAAGCAAGAGGAGTAACAGCAGAATTTCATCTCCCTACCTCGGTGTCCTCTTGGCTGATTATCAGAAAGCAACACAGAGAAAAGCTCTTCAGGAGCTTGCGATGGTGCAGACTCTCTGTTCAGCGGGATGGGCCAGAGGCTCAGCCTGTGAGACCGCCACTACAGTTACTGCTCATTTCCTGTGTGCTCTGGGTATACTGTAAATCACCTACTTACATCTTTGAGGATTTATATGGCTTGCCTCTCATTGTACTAGAGATTACCTCCCTAATATTACTGGCACCAGCAGCTGTTACCAGTGATGCAACTTCAGCGTCAGCCTCTCGGTTGCTGGGTACATGCAGCAGGAAGAGTGCTTCCATTTTCTCTCCAAATTCACACTGCCACTGCAGCAGCTGAGCCAGAATCTGTTAAACTGGCCATCAGGTTGGAAAAGTATTTTTAGTATTTAATATTTGTAGTAACTTTGTGGAAGTACAGCTACAATATCATGGTTTTACTCCGCTGTGTGTAGATACAGGGATTGTCCTCTGATACAGGCAGTCATGTGAGGCCTGATGATCTTCTGCTATGAGCTGACTTACGCTGTTTTCGCACAGTAAAAATACCTTAATATGGGATTAAATGACTGTAATTTACAGCCATGTTGCCCTGCTGATGAACTATGAATTTATTATATATGAAAATCATGCCCATTTTTAAATTTAATTCTTTGTTCTGGAACTTAGACAGTAAGTACAGGTTAGGTATAAAAAAAGCACAGATTCTCTACAAATACAAAACTACCATATTTCCTGGTTTGCAGCACCTAATCTAGGAAATATATAACTTGGCATTATGCCTCATCAAGGCCTACTCTTTAAACTTAGCAGGAAGCAAGTGCATGTGCGGCTTTTTGACCCTGCAGTTACTGCCCAAGTCTCAAACATGGTATGCACATCACATACCACTTTTTCTGGTATATTGAACTTCACTTGTATGATACATCTTTAGACCTGTCTCTGAAAAATAAGATTAAACCCCATCTAAAGTCAGGTAAGCTTACACATATGGTCCTTCCTACTGGAATATCCATAACCACCCACTGATCTAAATGGTGGGGGTTGGAAATGTGAAATATGAAACAGCACGATAAAAAGCACAATCCCACCTTATTCCAACAGCAGGAGACACCAAAATTTGCTGATAGATGTGCCTGCTAACAACTAACTAATCTCATTTACCCTACCTTTTTCTTCTGCAAGTATTTTCTTCAGGTTAAATCCCATGCTAAAGCTGGCCTTCACAAGACACCACAGCTCCACTTCTGCCCCATCCACAGGTGGAAACACAGCTGAAAGGAGAAGTTAGACAATCTTAAATCCACATTCAGACTTTTTGTGGAGGTCTGTGTCAAAGGGATGGTTCTAGCGTCAGTGTGCTCCATTCCTCATTCATCTTTTATATTAACTGCATCTCATTGGCAATGTGACAAGACCATCCCATTGCCTCTAGAGCATCGTAAGACGAAGGTTTTGTAAGCACAATCTAGAAATGGGTGTACACAAATGTGCACACATGCCTGCACACTTACATGCACACACAGACCGCTCTCTAAGGGGACCCCACACCACAAGCATGACACAGTTGACTCAGAAAGCATAAAAGAAGCCATGGGGGTGAGCTAAAAGCACAAAGTTGCAGACATGGCCATTGAGACGGCAATCTTCCACCTCAGATGGCGGCACACGCACTTGTTAGACCCAGCAGGACCAGGCAGCCACTGGAGCCAGAGACAGATATCTTGGCAAATTAAAAATACTTTGAAAATCACTCCAGAATTTCTCAAATTCTCAAAATAAAATTTTCACTTAAATTTGCTTGAGAACTTCAAGATGAAACAGGACAGTTTTCTCATAAGCATAATGTATTTCACAAATGGGGAAGAAAACCATCCTTTGAGGTGTTGCAGGTTTACACTTGCCTATCAGTCCTTGGTTCATAGTTCATACAACGGCAAAGAGCACAGGAATCAGACCCACCATCTTTAGAGTAATTCCCATTTTCTCTTTTTCTTCCCTCAGCTGACATGTTAAAAAATTGGCATGGCACAGCCCATCACATCCCTCTTTTTACTTTATACAAGGCCTTTTTATGCTGAAGTGGAAACAAACTCTGGAACAAATGAAAATTCAGAAAATACACAACCTAGACCAGTGTTCAATTCTGTATCACAATACTGAGTAGTTACCAGATGATATTAAAAGACTGATTATGTGAACCAATTTCACAAACTTACTAATAAAAGTAATTAACAAAAGTAAACCAAAAGATACTGAATTCAATTCAGAATATCAATTCACATTAAGACTTTTGGGGGAAAAAAAAAAAAAAAAGAAAATGCAATGAACTTACCAGAGACAGGAAGCTGAAAGTGGCTGTTGAAAATAAACGTTACGGAAGTCAAGTATTCTAGACGAGACGGGGGAAGAAAAAAAGAAGAGTGGTGTTCTGTGTTCTTGGCTTTTTCAGATAGACTTTTTTTAGTAGATTAGAAGAATTATATTCTTGAAAGGACAAAAAAACCCAAAATCTCAAGAGGTAACCAGAGACCACTGCACATACAGGCTAAATTAGTCCTGGCAACTGGGTCTAGCTCATCTGGAGGCAGCACAGACAGCAGACCCAGATGCAGTGTGACGAGAAAGAGCGGAGAGGTTTAGCGTAAGTCAGCTTCCTGGGGAGAGCTCCTCAGCTCTGCCTGTGTGGGCTTGTTGTGGGTTGGTATATGAGTGTATCTTTCTCTCTTTGGTGACTACGGGAGCAGATGTAAAAACCTTGACGATGGGGGAGGGGGCCAAAACCTCCAGCCTGCAGAAAGCTTTCTCTTTGCACTCTGCTGCTCCTACAGCTGCCTCGTCTCTGCTACAGGGGCTACTGGCACAGGGCAGCCCAGCAGCTCCAATACATGTGAGGAGAAACGGAGCAGATCAACAGCTGCCTGTAGTGTTACATGCAATTCACACTCCAGTAGCATGAACGAGACTTGGGATACTTTTCTGCAAGCTGAAATATGGCCCTGCCTTTAAAAGGAGAGTATACATATTTAGTTGACTTGGTGCAAAACCCAAGGCAGGTGTATATGGCTTTGTTGTAATTCAGTGAGGATCCCTCTCAAGCGTTGGTTAGGACTGATCAGTAGTATCATTTTATCAGCATGTATGTCCTCTCTTCTGCCAGTATAAGGAGGCTGAGCAGGTGGAGAGACCACAGTCATTGAGACTCCCACCTTTCCCAGCACAGAAAAATTGAGCTGGCCAGGTTCTCATAATTTCCAGATTTCCTACCACAACACTGAAAGCAAAGCTGTGATGATAGTTTCAGGATTTCAAGTGCCTATGGTCTACACTCCAGGGGCTGTCAGCACAAGATGCTGTCCAGTTGGTATGATCAGGCAATCAGACTGCAGGGAGGGCATTCCTGTCCCATAGTCCTTAAGCAGCCCAAGCACACCAGCACAGCAGAAGAGCTGCCCCAGAGCTGAACACGAGGTGCCTGGATGACCAGCCCAGTGCACTGTCTGGTCCTCAGGCAGACTCATGAGCAGAGGGTTCCCACAAGCTTTGAAACCCAGAGGCACAGAAATGGAACCCAAGTCCTTTTCAGTAAATATTTTGGGTCAGTAAAGCCACTTCAGACCATCTCCAGCCATGAAACAGTAGGAACAGGCTGCTTGATCCAGATTGAAAGCCATGAATTTTATGTTCCTTGCAGGATGGGAACTCTCTGAAGACAGCTAATGGATTTTTCAACTTTAACATTATGACAGTTCATTGCATTCCAAGACAAATCTTGCTTCCAAGAAAGATTAAAAACCAACAGAATAATTTACAAGATAAAGCAAAAAGGAAACAAAAAAGATAATTTATGTGTAGATGAAAGGCAATTGTGCCAAAAATAGATGCTGAAAGAACACAACCTATGTAAACACGCTGTAAACCCCTGCTGATACAAAGCTTGCAGAACAGTGCTGCACAGTTCGGATGGAGAATCAATTTGTTTCTTTCCCTAAGAAAGGAAATTGATTCAGTTAATTACCAACAGGGATGAAGGTAAGGAAGGATGGCTTAGAGAAAGCATTTCTGGAATTCTATCTTATTAAAATCTTCAATCTTCCTTTTAGTTTGAGACAAGATTTTGGATAAGTTGTTTTGTTTTTTTTTCAGCGCACTATCAGCTTGCATGAGAACTTGTGTTACTTAATTTTCACATTAAATATCTATTCATCTGGTTTTGAACTGGGTTCGGGTTTTCCAATACCAGCGTATGCAATCAGGCAGTAAGTTTCCAATGCAGTTGTGATAAAGACAATCAGACACCCAAAAACTTTGAAATGTTTCCATCAGAAACATTCAGAACTGTCAGAAGCAGAGAAATAAACACTATTCACAAATTTTACTGATATAAATGTCTTTGGTGATCATCACCAATTATAGGTCTGCCACAGAGAGCAGATACTTAAAAATGCAACTACTCCTTTCTGTTTCGTGCTGAGACTAATCCAGATGTGAGGCCATCTGGCTAAGTAATTTGCATTTTTGGAAAAAGAGTGCATCCATCTGTAAAATACTCCACAAACAACTTTTGAACCGAGTGAACTCAGCAAATGAACAAGACTGTAGAATAAGAAATGTGATCTAACATGTCCTGATTTCCACACGTTTCCCTCCACTGTGCTTCCTGGAGGATCTTGACAGAATAACTTCCAAAAAAAAATTGAATTTGATTAATTTGAGACCTTTCTTAGGGATACACGTGCTTCACACACTTGCACCATGATTTCACTTCCAAATGACCTGAAACTCCAAGAAAAGACCCTCAGCTCCACGGTTTCTGCACAACATGTAGGCAATGCCAAAGTTAGGTGTAATATTGCACCCTGACCTGTTTCACTTGATCCTTGCTTGGTTTGGGCTTTTGTGTGTGTGTGTGTGTGTGTGTGTGTGTGTGTGTGTCTTTCTTACTGCAGTTTTTCTGCTCCCTTTCACCTCTTCATGCTGTGCAATGAAGGGGAACATCTGGCTGTGAGAAAATAGTTAATACATTAAAAAATAAATCACTTCTCCTTTTTTAAAACTCATTATGAGTCATTATCTGCGATTTTCAGAAACAAACACTTTGTTGTGGAAAATATTTACGGGGCAGGGTGGAGGATTGCAATTTGCATTGAAAAGTAAGCTGAGAGCAAAAAAAAATAAAGTCTTAAACTGCAAGTAACTAAGGGTTTGTAACAAATTATCTAAAATTACATGACCCAGAGTTTTGACACGGTTGAGTTTACAATGAAAGGTCACATTTGATCATCATCCACTGATTTCTGTCCTTCTTGGAGAAACCAGCAAGCTGCTGATGTGAGGAAGGTGTTTGAGATTAAGGAAGGAAGCTGCTCCTGTCCCCCCTGCCTGATTTCCTTTTTGTTCTCAGATTCATTCAGCTCTGATTTTGGTCTGCCTCAAATAGTACGGTATGTGCAATGCTCAGGAAGTAAACCATGACACTCTTGATATTCACTGTATTTTCACTGATATTCACTTTCACAGAAGAAAGGCCCTACAAGCCTTTCTCCTGTCCTAGAGGATCATTATGTTATAGAAAATAAAGCTAATTGTTGCTTATATCTAGTCATTGCACAGAGCTATAAACAAAACACAAGAAGAAGTGTGCTTACTTTGTTTAAAAAAGAGCCCAATTCTCTTTTTTTGGTATCCTTTTCAAAGAGAGGCAGGAAAAATATATGTGGTCAAGATGCCAGCTGTGCGTTGGGAAAACTGGGATGTGGCTATTTGCTTTCCATCAAGTTTAAATCCATACACTTGTGCAGGTAAGGAAGCCAGAGATTTCTCCATTTTCTGAGATGAGAGCTTTCTGCTATCTTAACTACAGAACTACTCTTTCGGACTTTTATGTGTTTTCCCACTGTGTACAGATTACTAATTAGCTATTTCTCTGGGATATTTCTGTTGAGATCATATTGTCAGCAACACGTGCTGTGACCAAACTAACTTTTACACATTTTTTTTCTTGGAATCTGATACGCAGAAGCCAGTGTCCTAACTTCCTAGCACAATTCCTCCTGTGACGCCAGCACAAAACTGGCGGTCAGCACAATGTACAGGAAGTGCTTTCCTCCAGAGCAACATGAAAACCTACATCCTCTTTCTTGAAAGTGAAGTGTGCTTAGGAACTGTGCTGAGGGTTACTTAACTGCCCCGTCTCTCATTCTGGGACAGCCTGTGAAAGCAGTCCCATCACAGAATAATAGAATGTTAAGGGGTTGGAATGGACCTTAAAGATCATCGAGTCCCAAGCCCCCCTGCCATGGGCAGAGACACGTCCCACTAGACCCGGTTGCTCAAGGCCCTGTTATCCAACCTGACTTTGAACACCGCCAGGGTTGGGACATCACAACCTCCCCGGACAATCTGTTCCAGTGTCTAAGAACTAATTTAATCTTTCCCCAAATCAGGTACTACTCCCTAAATATCCATCCACTCTACTGAGAAAAGAAGATTCTTTCCGTTGTTATCCACTTGGTTTTTTTGTTTGGTTTTTCGTGTTTTTTTGTTTGTTTTGGTTTTTTGTTTTACTGGAGCTCTTCGGAGACATTTGCTCCCCACCGGGCAGCCCTGTGGCTGAGGGCAGCCCTCTCCAGCGGGCAAACGCTTCCGCACGGAGAACGTGCAAGCCCACATCTGTTTCTCCGAACTTGTCTGACTTCTGCAGTTTTCTCTCTCCCGGGGGACATTCACACTTCCTTCCCCCATCTGGATTCAATACGAAAATAATCCCAGTGGCTTTGCCGAAACCATGGAGGAAGCTCCAGTGGTTTCCTCTGCGAAATCACACCCAACCTGAGGCTGCCCCGCGGCTTTAGGGCCAGCCCCCTGCCCGGCCGAAGGCTCAGAGCCGCTGAGCTGCTCCCGGCGCGCCTGCCGGGGCAGCAAAGGCTGGCGCAGTCGGGCAGCGCTGGGAAACGTTCGGGAGGCGCTCGGCTGTGTCGCAGCAGGGAAGTGCCGGAGGGAGCCGCTTTCCTCAGCAGCCCCGCTGCAGCCGCCCCGGGGCTCCCCGTTCCTCAGCCCCGGTGCCGCGGAACCGCCGGGCACACGGAGCCCCCGCACTCCCCGCTCCCTCCTCCCCAGCGGCTGCTCCCGCCCCAGCCCCCCTCCCGCAGCCTTGCCTTGCCCTGCCCCGTTGCTGCTGCTGTGTGTGCTGTAGCCTTGTCAGGAGAGGAAACGCCAGCGCAAACCGGGCCTCCTGCCCCAGCTGTGTCAGAAGCCGCTGGGGTTCCTCTTGGGAAACTCAGCGATCTGAAGGCAGCAACTGGTTTTGTTTTGAATGTACTTTTCCCACTTGCTCCTGTTTCAAAGAAGTGAGATGGGGTAGTTACACTTTGCTGCCTAAGGCTCTCTGCTGCACCAGCTAGTTTCTTCCTTTCTAATCCATGAACACGGAGATGTTGCCCCAGAATAAGGCTTGGAACAGGAGCCTGACATACGTGCCTCGAACTTCTCTTGTGAAAGCCTCCCTGCCAGCCAGGGTGCATCATCCCTCTGGGGATGTTCTGCTCTCCCTACAGCATATCAAGATAGCTACTTTACATGGTTATCTTGATAAATGCCAAAAAGCTGAAGCTCCCAGTCACCCAAGACTTGTCTATATGGCACTGCAAGACA